GCAGAGTGATTACAGGATGGATGTGCTGCCCATGGGTACAGGGTGGGTACAGGGTGGGCACAGGGAGAATGTGCTGCCCATGGGTGCAAGGTGGGTGTACTAGTCATCGGTGCAGGGTGGGCACAGGGTGAATGTGCTGCCCATGGGTGCAGGGTGGGTGTACTAGTCATGGGTGCAGGGTGGGCACAGGGTGAATGTGCTGCCCATGGGTGCAGGGTGGGCGCCCCATGGCCCAGCAGCACTCCACAGCTGCAGCCACACCTCAGCTCGGTGCTCTGCAGTTCGGAGAGCAGCGCTGGGCTCCCAGACGGCCGGCAGCAGCGGCACACGTGCAGCAGCAGCAGCAGCGAGTGCAGCTCCCTCGTGCACGGCTGGCACTGACAGAAACGCACAGGTGCATTCTGGACCGAGAAGCAAGCAAAGCTGCTCTGGAGCGGAGCGCTCCGAGCAAAGCCAGAAAGCAGAACGGCAGCCGGGCAGCCCCGTGCCCTTCTCCCCTTCCTCCTGCACCCTCCTCAGCTCTCAGACGGAGCGGAGCACCCCGCACCCAGCTGCAGCTCCCTTCCTCCCCCGCAGCACAGCTGCAGCACCTGGGCTGTCAGCAGCGACACGGAGCGGTGCTGCAGCACGACGTCCCTCCCGTCCCCTTCTGCACCGCTGTTTATTGCGGGTGCTGCCGTCTGCCTTCCTCCCCACGCACGGCCACTGCTGGGAGCACCCAGCGCTCCCTCTGGACAGCCCGGCATCGCCCGCCCCCTGCCCTGCACCGCCCTGCTCAGCTCCAAGTCCCTCCGTGTGAGCAGATCGCAGGCAGGCATGGTCAGCTCCGTCCCGACACCCGACGGGGGCAGCGGTTGGGAAGTGAGGGGTGCCGACCTCAGCAGGGTGCAGCGCAGGGGTGGAGCGAAGGGAGCCGACAGCAGCTCCGGCCTCAGCCCATCTCAGCCACCCCCGCTGCCCCCCAGCGACCCCGAGCGGCGCACGGCGCTCCGCAAAGCCACCGCAGCGCCGCACGAACTGCAGCCCAGCTCCGAGCGCTGCGTTTGGAGGGCGGTGCGAAGGAGCAGCTTTGGGGAGGACAGACGGAGCGGCGCCGGGTTCCGCCCCCAGCCCACAGCCAGCAGTGCAGGACGCGGAGCTGCGAGAGGCGCAGCGCTCCTCAGTTCACAGCGATGGCTGCAAGGGGACGCGCGCCCTGAGCTCAGCACAGCGGGGTGCTTCCCCACTGCAAGCGGGGCACAGGGAGCACAGCCAGAGCCCCAAACACCCGAACAGCCCGCAGCCAGAGCACTAAGCACCCGCACTGCCCCAACAACCTGCACGGACCTGAGCACACAGAGCCCTGAGCACCCAGAGAGCACCCAGAGAGCACCCAGAGAGCACCCAGAGAGCACCCAGAGAGCACCCAGAGCTCAGGACAGCTGCGCAGCCCCAACAACCTGCATGGACCTGAGCACACAGAGCACCCAGCACACACACGCAGCAGGGAGCACCCAGCACACACACGCAGGGAGCACCCAGCACACACACGCAGGGAGCACCCAGCACACACA